AACATTCATTCAAAGATGTGTCCATTCAACCCATCCAGATAAAAACCATGGAGGCTGCTTTTAGGAGGCCCCTGAAATAATGACTATTTCAGAGGAACATCTTGGAAGCATTCTAAGACACTTCAGCTACATAGCCCATGGTTGAACTTTTCACTGGACCTTACAGCTCTCCATGGCAGAGGAACTCAGCTCCAAGCACAAGGGGACAAGGCTGCGTGTATATGCAGCGGTTCTGACCTGTGGATTTATGCTGTCCCTTCATTGCACCACATAAAATCAGACTCTCTTAAAAATCATTTCCTTTTAAAGAAAGTTCATGCCTGACCATAAACTGCATTAAAACAGAACTTCAGCTAAAAGGATGTAGCAGTAATTAATGATAAGGTACATGAGGGTCATTATCAAAGACTTAGGCTTTATTCAGCCAAGTTCATGCTTAAAAGAAAGCAAAAAATGGTAATGAAATGGCAGTTAATAGAGCATACAAACCTTCTTATTATTTTCTGTTGGTGACAGAAATTTAGAAGGGGAATCTAGTGCATCCTTAAAAATTCTTTTACTGTATTTTGTTAGATTTTGTGCAGCATCAATGTAAAATCCTGCATCTGAGCTGGAATAACCCAAGGCAACAGTTCATGCTGACTAGGTAGCAGCTTGGCAAAGAAAAAAATTTGTATGTTGAACATATGTTAGCAGGGTGCTTTTGCAAAAGTGATGGCCGAGTGGGTTGCATTAGCAAAACATCACCAGTAGGATGGAGGAAGTGATTATTCCTTCTTGCTGAATGCTCATGAATCTCAGTATGGTGTTCAATTTTAACCCCTCTACAATATAAGAAAGACCTAGACAAATTACAGCAAGACCAGTGGAGGGCCACTAAATGATCAGAAGACAGAAGGACAGGATGTGCCAGGATAGGTAGAAGGAACTGGGTTTGTTCAATGAGAAGAAAGGGAGGCTTAGGGGTATATTTACTGGTGTATTGATCTACCTGAAGAATTGTATTAGGGAAGACAAAGCCAAAGACCTGCATAGAGAAAGGATAATGGCAACAGTCCCAAATTGCAATTTCACTGCTGTATCTTCTGGTGTTCTCACTGGCATTGTCCCAAGCTCTTCAGCTCTGCTTTTTCTTTTCAGTGAATCCCCTCTAATAAAACTGTCCAGACGTGGTCTATGAATTCCACTCAACAAGATCAAAGGGCAGTTCCTACAGTTGAGCAGAGAGGACATCCCCTGCCTGAGCCCTTGGTTTCTCCTAGAGCATGTCAGTCTCTTTTTATCCCATACTTCAGGAAAATGCAACTGGCCATGTGTCAGTACTGATGTTCTGTGATTCTCAGCTAAGCACGTGAAATGATGACGATAACAAAGCATTTGTCTCCACAGCTTAAAATATCTGCCCATGCTTTTGCTACCTGTCATCTTCCTAAACTTCTCAGGAAGCTCTTGCAGGCAATTTCCTCACTTCATAACTGGATTTCTGGCTGCTGGCTATTTTAGGTTCTGCCTGAGGGATACCTGCAAAGCTGAGGATCATGTGGCAATGGTCAAAACTTGCAGTCATGGATAGGAGGGTAGTAGGTACTGCAGAGAATCTGTATGTGAGGTGGGACAGGGGGTCTCCTTCTGTGTTGAGAGGAGGCTGTTGAGGCATCTCCATTAGCTGTTGCACAACTGGGCTGTTCTCATCTGCCAAATAACAAAATGTCTCAACCAAACACTAATGGGGATAATGGATTCTTATGATCACCATATTTTTCTGAAATAATATCACTATACATTAGTTCCAGCTTTGATTTGTTTCATTTGATTCTGGCTCCTTTTTTTTTTTTTAAGGTGAAAAGTGCAGCTGAAGGGACCAATGGGGAAATTAACTTTACACAGTAAATTGCATCTGCATTATTTTTTGAATAAGCTACTGCTATTTTAAATCAAGCTACCTTTCCTTCAGTGTTCTTAATTTTATAAGTGCTGTGCTCCAGAGCTTTCTATTAAGCAAAGTGTTTTAAAATGAGTCTTAAATAATTTAAATATCTATTTTCTGAAATAAATCCCTTTCCTGGAACATTTTTTGTCAATTTTATGCCTTCTTAGGAAGAAAATAAAACAGAGACAGTATTTTATTATTCTATCCACAGTTTTACAAGAGCAGGAGAAAATGTGTAGCAGTAATAGTCTCCATTCCACAGCAGGCGCACACTAAAAAAAAAATCTATAATAATGTGATTTGTCCTCTTCACATCCCTCCCAATTTGAATGAAGTTAAAAACAAAATGAAAAACAGGAGACATTTCTTGTTCCAAATTTATCTGAAGGCTGTTGTATTTGTCATCGCTCCCAAGGCTTCCTGGCTTCAGCTTGTACTCCTTCCTCCAGGAGAAAAGGGACCTGGAGCCTTGGTATCAGCACCCTGATACTGAGACAGAAAAGTGAATGCTGTCCAACCCCTCCTCATGAATACTTCATGGTTTTGCTGTAGACTTGGGCACCTGCTCTGACATGCCAGGAGTTTGTCTGAAAATGCCTGGTACTGACCTGTGGGGAATGGACTGAACACGGTGTTACTGCGTTCCCTGAAGGAAACTGGCTATGTGATGCAAAGGGGAGGTAACACAGTGGCAACGACAGCAGAGTCTGCATAACACACCTTCTTTTGATAAGGCGCCAGCGCTCCTGTAAATCAAATTGGGAGAATACTTACACTGCCACCCCTACAGGTTTCCCCAGGTGTGTTAGAGAAATTAGGTGACATACACCTTTATTTCACCTGACTTAACCAGATACGGAACTGCATCTGAGATTGTAAGATGCTTTTTCCTTGTGTGAGTGCAGTGACTCTGTGCCTTGGTGCTCCCCTACACCAACACGCTGGTCCACTTTCTCCCTGGAGAGCACCGAAATGAACTGAATCGCTTTTAGTCAGTAATGACACATCAAGGGCACACCACGACAGCAAGCAATGCCACACAGCTATTTATGCTACAATAAAGAGGAGACGGATATAAACTATAGGTATTATGTATGAGACACTGTTTCTTCAGATACAAGGCTACAATAATATTCCAATATTATGTTGTTGTTTGATTCAGATAGGAAACAGTGTCATTTCTAAAGTAGCTAAGTAATGTACGTGAAAGGATCTTAAAGCCAAGAGTACAAACTGACAAAGGAAACACCTAGAAGGATGACAGGGACGATACCAGTCTCTGTATTTGAGACTGAGCACTCACACTATCCTCTGACACAGTAACTGGCCTCAAAGAAGGAGATGCTGTGTCTGACCTCAGCAGTGGGGGGCTGTGGCTGCACAGCTGCACTGCAGTTATAAGGTTTAAGAGTACATAAGGGCTGCCTGAACATTTCCGCAGTCTGGTTCCTGGGAAATTAGATCCAATATTGGAATAAATGGCAATGGTTTTCTGGGGCACAACCACTTAGTTTTCAGAAGCAGGAAACCTAAACAGGAATCTGCTCCCCTCCTCTTCTAAGTAGTTCCCATGGAAAGGCTCCATTGACTTAGGCTAATCAGAGACTAAGTTATACCGGGTGCCACCCAGAGTAACAGCAGGGCGAATCTGAGTAAAAGCAGGCCACTTCAGCATCTGGCAGAGTCTGTTTAGCACAAAACGTGATTACAATCCAGAGAGTTTATTCATGCTCAAATTACACAACTCAGTTGTTTATACCAATAGATGTCTCCTTCCTTCTGGAATGCACGTGAGGTTCTGAAGCCCACATTTGCTTTAAAGTCCTATTCAATAACAGTAAAAGAGAAATCAGTTTACAGCTTTACAAGTGGTCTAAAGCCTAATTATTATGATGCATTTTCTAACAGAAAATTAGGCAGAGTGTTCAAATGATGCCAGTGGTGTTATGCTGCCCCTCAATGAGCATAAGCAGAAAGATGAACAGGCCCATGATATTTCATAGCAGTGAAGGGGTCAGGTATCCTCATACTTGCCGTATTATGCAGCACACTACATCCGAGTTCTAGTGTCTATTAAAACATATAACTAATTATTTCCTGATGCTTTTCGAAATCAAAGCTCAGTGAAAAGGTTGAGTTTAGATTGATTTTTAGGCATTCTATCACAAAAGATAGAACAGCAAACAACACATATGTAACATGTAAACTGGCAAATTCAAATGACCCAACCCCATAACCTAGTCTATCTTGTTCTCCTATTGATCCTTTTTGTCTAGGATTTTAATTTGAACTCCGTGAGCCAAAATAAGAAAACTTTTTCTCTAAGTTTGTCCAGCGCTTACACAAGAAGGTCATGAGAAAGACTCCTAGGCACGCACAGACAGTAATGAACTACGAGTAACTCTACTGCTACTGCAGTACTGTGAATGACTATAAATATCCTTTTGAAGCAGAGATGGGAATAGGTTTGGGGGAAGAAGGGGGACTGGGTTTGGAAGACACACTGGAAATACTAGTCACTCTGGTTAAATGATCCATCCCTGCTTTGATGGCCAGCAGATGGTGAATTTTGGGTACTTTGTGACTCAGTAGGTTCCCCCTTCTCACTACTTCTAACCAAATCCTGCAACTTCCTCTGGTGTCTTTTCTTCAACAAAATATTCCCTTTGTGCTGTTGCAAACCACCTCCCCCTGAAGATCCACAGGGCCTTCTGGTGCATCCAGATCCTGACTGTGCTCACAGAGCCTTTACGCAAAAGGAAATCAATGCTGCTGGTGGCTGCAGTGTCTTCCCTTTCCTGAGCAGGTATGTACTTTAGCACACCTGCCATTACATCACTTTACATCTGTAATACCTCTGTATTTGGAACTCCCTGAGAAATGAATAAGCAGTTAGCACCATCTCTGGGTGTTGGCATGATGGGCTTTCCTGTCCATTTTTTGCTGAAAGACATTTCTTCAACAAGGAGAAATAATATGCTGCTAGAGATAAACCAAAAGATAATGCTTTCCTGCTAGAAATTACTTAAGTAATAAAAAATGAAAGATGACAGAAAATCACTGTACTTACTATGTGTCGTGCTGCAAACACTCCATCAACAATTGCACAACAGAACGCTGCTACCACGCCAAAGCTGATAAACACGATGGAGGCTACTAACTGAGAAGAGAAAAACAGATTGAGTAATGTTTTCAATATAATTGTTCAAATAAAACAACTGCACTAATTTTCATAGTATTCTTAAATTACATTTCTCCCTGCTGTATTTCATTTCGGATCAGTGTGACAGGATGCCAGTCACACAGCAGAGAAAAGGCAGAAATTCTTGATGCTGGGTTGACATAACAGCAGGTCTACTAGAAAAGCTTAAATCTTTCCAGAGAAAATTAGGTCAGCTGCAAGAGTTATTGAATTCAGTGGTGATTTCTTCTTAATCAACTTACTTAATGAAACAGCTCCATAGGGAGCATGGCAAAAAGCCATGTTCCTGTTGGCTCACATGAATTTCTAGAGCTTTACTACAGTGGTAGTATTTCACATGTACAGATAAAGACATTGTAGTAAGATAATACCTAGCCCATGAACTCTCAGAAAGCTTTTACCATCCCAAATAGTTTATGATAACTTAAGCCACAGCAAAATCAGAGACTCATAGAACTGGTGTCTCTGGAAGGGCTGGGGTGTGTTGCCTTGGCCCCTGCTCTTTCTGGGGCTCCCCCCCTGCCCTTCAGTCTCAGAGTGGGCACGGCAGAGCACAGCAGAGCTCAGCACATGTCCCAGCTACAGTGCAGGTAGGACACTGTCTTTGTCAGCCTCTCTGCCATAGCTTCAGGCCACATTTTACTGCCCAAGCTGCTTCGTTCATTAAGCATTATTAATTCTTTATCAACGGGACTGCGGATGAGGTAATGCTAGAGCACCACTCTAGCACAAGTGGTGGTGGTATGGAGGGTTCAGGGGAAAAGGCTGTTAAGGTTGGGCACGCTGAGCCTCTTGCTAGCTGTGCTTGCTTTATCTCCAAAGATGACTACAGGTGCAGCACTAGCAGCAACTGCAGGGCTAGCACAACCCCAGATATGGCAAGCGTACTGCCCAGTTCACTCTGAAGGGAGCAATAGGATGCAGAAAGGCTGAGCACTAGTCTGTGTCTCCACAATAGACCAGTCAGTGTGATGTTGGCACACACTCTTGAGATGGCACTGGCTTGTTTTGGGGGCACATCTGAAGGATGCAGCGCTGTGAGCGAGGTGAGATTAAGGGAGTCCTGAAGGAGGAACCCTGTGCTCTCCTTGGGCTCATTAGCCCCAGTGCCACCAGATGAAGAAGAGATGCTGTCACTCCTTCCTCTCTCAGATTAGAGGGTTTTGTGACTTTGAGGACTCCGCACCTTGAGTTTGGATGAGTGAGTACCTGCAATATATAAGATGAACCTAAGGTGCACTCTCTGACTATGTTTTTAATGTAATTTAATGTATATTTCTCACGTGTCTGGCATTTCTGATGCAAAGTCACTAGGGGAACCCTTGCAAACATCCTATATGATAGGCTAATTTTAATTTACAATAGTATTAAGTTATAGTTAATAACTGCAACAGATTAAAAAATCCCTTTGAAGACTGACAGAACAGTATCCCTAATTGATAGAGTACATAGACCAAGGTTTCAGTTAAGAATTTGGAACCTCCTAATTATTTTCCAGTCATTAATTGCTCCTTCACAATATGTATTTCATAATGCTAGGCTGGATGGGGCTTTGAGCAACCTGGTCTGGTGGAAGGTGTCCCTGCCCAGATGATCTTTAAGATCCCTTCCAACCCAAACCATTCTATGACTTTATGAAATGGTCCAATATTGATTACCAAAATTACCTCCATACAGTTCATATACCCCTTTTGACTACACAAAACCCATATTTGCATTACCTAGATATTGTTTTCACATGTGTAAGATTTGTAATGCATTATAAAATCACTTGAAAAATGGACTCTTTAGCTTGTGTTAGGCTACAAGCAGCACAATGTCAATAGTGTCAACAGGGGACACAGCATTGGTGACTTCCTCAAAAAAATGCATATTAAGCAGGTAAGAAATTACAGGCTTACAAACCCATAGCATTGGACACAAAAGTCAAAACAACATCAGACATCTGGAAACAAGAGCTTTCAGGGAATCAGCAAAAAGTACAACTTAAAAATAGAAGAATCACAGCTTTCAAATGCTTTCTGATACACTCTTTTAATCTCTCATTAGGTCATGGCTCTTAGCTCATGTAATCAGAGGTGAGCTAGCACTGCCACAGGGATTGCTGTTTAATCTGAATTCTCAACGTGGGGAGCAAAGGGGCCCACAAAAGTGGCTGAGGCTGATGGTACTGCCTGATCTTGGGAACCTGCAGCATCCCCCCTGCAGCCAGATCCATCCTGCCATAAAGAGGCAGAAGCCCTAAGAAAGCATTGTTGGCTGCATCACTCTTCAACCTTCGCTATCTCTTGGCTCTCCAGCATGGCATGTCATATCTCATGAATTTGGTTGTCTAAAGATCTTGGCATGCAACTCATCACATCAGGAAGGCTGTGGGCTCCTTGGAGAGAGCCATTATCATCACAGACCAGTGGGCTGTACTGCCCTGTGGCAGCTGTATTTGCTACAGCTCCTGATCTCTTCATTTGAAAAAGCAGCAGCGTTTAAAAGTTCAAATGAAGTCATTATTGTCTGATGCCTTTATCTTGTTTTTTCAAGTCATAGCAGTCAATCAAATAATTAGTGGGCTTAGCTGGGTGTTTCCAAATTGCCTGTGGTCAGGATGAATTTACTGGAAGCTGACCTCAAAATGGCTTTTCATTTCACACATGAGCAACTTATTGATGATCTACAATCCCCAAACCAACGTTTTCCACTCATGGAAATAGCTTAAATCACCTGATGATTAAATGCTGGTCTTTAAGCTTCACCATATAGTTATACGAGACCATATATAAAGTGCACCCTAAATTGTAGTATAGACAGGAGCTATGGAGTTGACTTTGCACTCCTCAGTCATGTTGGCGAACATCTACCCATCCAAGGAGTTGCATGCAAGTCAAAGGTTGACTGCCAGAGTCTGCTGTTCTTATCCATGCCTACCAGCAACTACTTCAGTGAGTGGCCTCTTTGAAATGCAGAGGGCCATTTCTTGACTGATGTAGTACTTATTACAGTGCTGAAGTGTCAGAATGTGGCACTCAGGGGTGCTTATGACCTAAATTGACTTCCATCTGTATTAGAATGATAAAAGAAGTAATAATACAAGAACAACACAAAGAAATCCTTAAAATAAAATTACAGATTTATATTCTCTCTCAAATTTCCCATTGCTTATTGAGAATGTGAGAAACACAAAAACAAAGCATAAAATTAATTACTTCTAAAATTTGCAACCAAGACAGCCAAATTAAGAGCTGCTGCAAATTCAAAAAGCTGATTTTCCTGAGTGGTAGGTGATTGCTGGAGTTGTGAGTTCACGACCCTGGCACTGTCAAGAAAGAAAAGCAGTGCAGTTCATTTAAACACAGGGAATTTTTGTTGATAGGTAACAGAAATAGCACTTTAAAAAAAATAAATACCGATCCATCACATCGTCTCGTCTCCATTTTTAATAGCAGTATGTTTTGTCCAGGAAACTACTAATTCTTTATAACAACATATTTTAACAGTTTTTCAAGAAACAGTTTTGCTTTTGCTGTTCCATTGCTGGGCAGCCAGGCTTCTCTACAGCTGTTATTATCAGAACATGTTTACTCCTGGTTCTGGTACAGATTACAAGAATTTGGTTATTTACAAGGCAAGCATGAAGCCAGTTATTATACAGTGGAAACTTTACTGTGTGGGCCTAACAATCAAAACCAAAAGCCAGTTGTTTAAAAGAGGTGTTTTAGCAAAAAGGAGAGCAAATTAGCACTTAGAGCAAGGGACTTTGACACATAGTATTAACTGAAGAGCTGCTATCTTCTGTCATGTCATAAAAATATGAAAACACTCAAAAATGCATAACTATGGAAAGGCTGGACTATTAAATTCTTGCATGCTGCCTTCTTTCAGAAGAGGCAGGCATTTTATGGTAGAATTCATGTGTCTTATAGAACCTCTTGTCCTTCAGCAGGCAAACAGCACCACTGGCTGCACTCTGTCACCTCCCTGTACAAGTGAGCCCAGTGAAGAAAGTGGTGCCAGGGGACACCCCGTGGCCACTGAAGCTGTCAGAAATGCACTTGGCATGGGTATTTGGCAACTAAGAGTCTCCCAGAACACTTCCCAGGCATGTTTTTGGAGTTTAGAGGACCCAGCAGAGAGTTTGATGCAGCCACCCTGGCTGCGGCCATGCTCTCACATAACCACCACACCTCAGCTCCCCAGGCAACTTTTGCAGCACTGTGTCCCCGCTGTGTGACACATGCAGAGGTGCAGCCAAGGTCTGCCAGCAGATACACAGAAAATTACCTCTGTATCAGACGTGTTACGTTATATCTAACAGACTCACTTTGCCCATGTTACATTCCTCAAAATATAGTTCAATTCTGTGGATCTTTTCACTGGTTTGATTTCCCTGTGTCTCTAAGCTCAGAACTTAAAATATGCTTAAAAACATCTGCTGCACTTTTTCAGTATGCTGAGGATGAAGATGTAAGAGCAGAAGTTTACAAAAACTGTATGAAAAATCCAAAACAGAGGACGGCTTTCCCTTCCTGGCACAATCTCAACCAGGAGCTGCATCTGTTGCCATGGCACCTCAGCAGGGCTGTAGATTAATAACCTACAAAACTAAGACAGTTAAAGTCATTGCATTGCATTTCAGACACTGCTATCAACTAAATGCTGCCTGTGTTGTCAGGTGGGATGGTATGAATGTACTTTTAATTGTGAGTTAATTTTCTCTAATTTGGAAGGTCCTCTCCCGTGTGGGCCCTTCCCCTCCCACAATGACCACTTTTTTCCGCTGTCCTTGGGACAGAAGTTTTGCTTCTGTGATGAAAATAAAGCTCAGACAAGGCTCCTACTACATCAGTTTTCACAACTGGGCTAATTAGGAGGTTCTTCAGTGCACCAGCTAATGTCTGTCACAATTTATGGCCTGCCAACCTATTTCCAAAGATTGGTTCTTCAGTGATAGCACTGCTGTAATA